AGAAATGAATGGATAGATTTGAAAATAAATGGCTTTGCATCAACTCTGGAAATATTTTAACACTTGAAACACAGAAAAACAAGCCCATTAAGATTTCTGCTACTTGTATGACAGCAAAATAGCCTAGGTCAAATACAGGTATTGTGCTATGTTGCAGTTTTTTGGGTTTTCTCCCCTTGAAAAGGAAGTCTTTTATGTGTTTACAAACACTGATATCAAAGACAAATTGTTCCTTCCCAAAGGTCCTGATATACCACATTCCATATAAAACCCAAAGGATCAACTATTTCTTCCTCTTTTTCTCTGCCTTCATACAACTGCGACTACCCTGTAATTTCCCTTCCGTTAAGTGTGACAAGGAATATCTCCTTCAGAAAGCTGCCAACTAATTTTAAGGGGTAATAAGCAAAGAAAAATATTAACAAAGAGTATTAAAAAGGGAGCAAATTCTACCTCTAAGGCACATTATGTTTTTAATGTTTATCACTATTTGAAGAATCACTAAATACATCCTTTCTATAACAGATTGACTAAGAATAAAAAGTATGAAAAATTACTATATTCTGTTCATAGCTAAAGACATTTGCATTTAGAATTATTTCCACGGAAAAACAAGGCCAGGGCAGTCTCCTGGGTAGGAAACAACAACAAAAGCCCCAGAAGCCTAATACCTACATTTTCTCTGGAGACAAGCTTCTTCAATAACCTGTTTTCCCCTCAGATTTATCAAACGTATGCATATTACTGCTGTGTGCTAAATATTATTTCATTGGTTAGTTACAATCCTCAGGTCTCCTTAGCCAAAATTCCAATAGCGCAGAATCAGAATTAGTTCAGCACATGCTTTATATGAAGAATCAATCTACTGAGAGCTCACACAAAAGCAAGTAAAAGCACATTATAAAACAAGCATTTCCCCACCTCAATTTTAAAAACGTCTATAATCATCCTAGCTACTAAATATATTAAAACCTAGATATCCTGAATTTTACTTGTTTTGACTTCTCTACATGTTCTAGAGGGCACAGACGAAGATTTCCCCACTCTTCCTCCAGATTTACTATAAATAGAAACATCTACAAGTAATTAAAGAACAAGAAAAGGCGCTTTTTTTTAATGTACCAGGTCACTAAGTAAAAGGACCGGAAACAAAATTCATGTTTTTCCTTTTCAAAATTTGACTTTCTCCAGGCCTTTCTACAGGACCTGAACTGTTGTCCAAGGGAGAGGGAAAGATTTGTCAGGAAATAAAATAAAATAAAATACCCACTCACGAGTGCTAGAAAACTATAAATGCCACAAACGCTGCTTTCGCACACGGCCCAATAATGCTGCTACAAGGAATATTAACGCCTTTTTCGTTTCCTATCAAGTTTTCAGTGGGTCGAAATTTCCTAGAATTGAAACATCTCGGCTCGATTTTGCAACTGGCTGTTCCTGCAGTCAGTCAACTCTTCTCCTTCGAGCAGTGGCTTTGCCTGAAAATATGCCCACAGAACCTCCAAGTCCACCCATCGTGAGCACCAGCAGGGAAGAAATGACATCACCCGCAGGAAGCACACAGCCAGTTGTCTAATGGGCAGTCACTGAAGGAGGAGCCACCACCAAGGACAGACAAAACGTCTACCTCCAGCTTGCAGTGACAAGGAAGGATGATCCCCTTCGCTCTCTCCACGCAGGAAGGAAGGAAGAGCTCACCAAAACAGCTCTGCAACCCCCTGGAGCAACAAACAAGCTCCAACCCATGCAACACCGAAAGAAAGCAGGAATACAAAAGAAATCTCTCAAACTCATGGGCCTTGGGGTGCAAGTCTTGAACCAAAATGCAAAATGAAAAAAAAAAAAAAAGAGGACTTCAATCTAGAATCTAAATTTTGTTCTCAATCAGAAATACAAAGTGGGGGTGGAGGGCGGCGGGGGAGAAACACTAGTAGGCAACAGTCCAAAGACGACGCCTGCCAGTTACATCTCCTCTTCCTTTTTAACAGCAGAAAACTCTGGGGCGCCTAATAAGCAGTTTCCATAGAGAAGCAGGCGGGAGGGGGGGTGGGACCTACCCCAGAAAGTTTCGGTCCCTCCTCTCCCGAGGTACAGGATATAAAGGGTCTGCAAGGCAACATCTCCTCGCCTAACCATACCTCTCCCATCCCACGGCGTCCCCAGGCACAGCGACTGGGGTCTAGTCGAAAGCCCTCATCACTGACTTCAACAAGTAACAAAGACCAAAAAAAAAAAGGAGGGGGGGGAAGAGGGGGTTGGGGTGGGGGGGTGCGGGAAGGGCAAATGAAAAAAAAAAAAAGTCCCGCACTTCCGGAATCTGTTTCTTGGGTGCCTCGGGAGACCATAAAAAACGGTCCTTCACACGGAGGAGCAACGCTTCAGCACTTCGGAGCTGCGTATTTTCAGAGCAGGAGATACAAAACTCCGAAAATACCATTCCTGGGACTACGGGGAGGTGATGGGGGAGGGGGGGCCGGAAAGAAGAAAATCCTTCCGAAGGTAATACAAGGTTGTATAAGTTCAAAACAAAACAAACCCCAAACCCCCCCTCCAAAAAAAAAAAACAAAATAAACCAAAAACCCTCCACTCCAACGTCTACAAGTCTCCAGGCTTCAAACTCAGAAGCAAAAAAAAAAAATCCCAACCTCCAGTTGCAGGCACGAAATACGAATCCGTCCTCACCGGTGTACCAGCCCACCGACTGGGGAGGGGAGCGGGGGGGGGGGGGTCCACAACTCGGATGCACAATTACCACCCAAGCAAGGAGGGGGCAGGGGGGAGGGGGTGGTGGATGGGAGCGGGGAGGCTTTTCTGGGAAGGGGCTGGGGGCGGGCGGGGGAGGACCCCCCACCCCCGACACGGGTGCGTATCGTGATGGGGTGTGTTTCGGAGGGAGATCCGAACAGGTAGCCCCGAATTGGAAGGGGTGGGGGGGGACGCCGCCAAGAGGAGGGAGGCTACAACTCCGGCGGCGCCGGGGGGGACGAGACTCCCCCAGATCCCCAGGGTCGGCTCGCCGGAGGGTCCCTTCAAGCACGCACATCTCGGGGGGCCGAGGTGGGGAATGCCGGGGAGCCCCTCCCCGGCCCCCCCAAGCCCCCGCTCGCTCCCGCCGGGCCGTCCCGCCGGGTGTCAGCGGCGCGCGGGCGGGCGGGGACGCGGAAGGGCGCAACAGCATCTCGCCGAGGAGGCGGCGGCGGCGGCGAAGAAACTTCGCCAGAAGAGGAAGCGCCTGCGCCCCGAGCCCCGTTCGCTCGCTCGCTCGCTCCCGGGCCCACCTCCCGCCCCCACCCCCGACGCCGGCCGCCCCAAGTTGCGGTCCTCCCGGGCCCCGCCGGCACGCACCGGCCCGCGGCACCCCCCAGCCTCGCGCCGGCCCCCCGGAGTGGCCCCCGCCGCCACCGCCGCCGCCGCCGCCGGGCCCCCGCGCCCGACCCAACTTGAAGTTGCGGCCCGCCCCGAGCGGCGCGGCCCGGGGCCGACAACAGGTGGGCGGCCGGCGCCCGCGGGGCTGGGCCTCCCCGGGCCCGGCCCGCTCCGCCCCGGCCAGGGCCCCGGGACGGGGAGGGGGAGCTCGCTCCCTTACCTCCGCCATGTTTGCCGTACTGACGGGTCACATCTCCGCGGCGGCCGCGGCTGGGTCACGGCCAGAACCCGGATGTGGGAATCGGCAACGGGACTCCCGCCGGCGCCGCCGCCGCCGCCACTGCCGCCGCCGCCGCCTCCGCCGCCTCGGCGGGAACGCGCAGGAGCCGCCCGCGCGCGCGCGCGCGCCCACCCACCACACCCCACTCCGCCCCCTCGCGGCGCCCGGGCCGAGCGCGACTGGAGGGAAAGGCCGGGGCTCGCGTGCGCGCGCGCGCGCGGACGCCCTCCCCGGGAGGAGCCGAGGGGGCGGAGTCGGGGCGGTGGCGGCGACGGGGGGGGGGGGGGGGGCGCGCGGGGGGCTGCCGGGCGCGCGGGGGGCTGCCGGGCGCCTCCCCGCACGCACCGGCCGCGGAGGTTCGGGGGTTCGGTTCGGGCTCGGTGCCCCGGGCGCCGAGTCCCGCATACACGCGCGCGGGGAAGGAAGAAATGACGTTGGACCATGCAGCCCCCACCCCCCCAACCCCCGTTTCCGAAGGGCGCTGCGGGGATGCACTTTCAAAGCCCTCTCCCCCCACCCCCACCCCCACCCCAGCCCTGAAAATTCGTCCTCCCAGTCCACGGTCCCGGCAGAATTTTAAGGACTGGTAGGCTGCACGCCCCATCTCTCATTTGCTCTTCCTCGCACGCTTTCTGTGACGCCAACAGAGTTGGGCACTCGAGAAAATTCTAGGATGTCAACTACAGAAAGGCTGGCTGGCTCTTTGACGGGTTATAATGATCTCTGACTTGACAGCACGGGAGAACCTGCTTATTTGCAATGCCTGAAAATGCCTGCAAGTTGAGAGCATGAGAGCAGATCTTAATGTATTGGCCTCGAACTGCCAATTGGCCTCGATGCCAATTCTGATGACTGCCAGAGCCAATGATTGCAAAATAACAAACATGTTTCATGTCCATTACTAAGGCAGACACTCACTAATGCCAAGGTGGTATCAAAGCGTTTACTAACAGAGTTTACTAAACCAGGGCTTGAGTCTTATTTCGAAAAGACCTGTTTTCTGTTCTTGACTGTTCAAGCTTCCTCTCAATGCAATTTCAAAGATGACTATCAAAATCAACCATTCAAATGAGAATTATTCATTTCCTCCAACAAGGCGTTTGCACGACAACGTAACACATAGATGTGTATGTACACAATTTTAAACTCAATACTCAATTTACAATGCAATATGGAGGGGGCAGTATTTTTCAGTTACCTGCAGTTCCTTAACATTCTAGACTCTTATCAAGCAGTTTCCTAATTCCAAAAATTCAACAATAACTTGAAATTCTTATGTCCCAATAATAATCTGTGCATGAATAAACTGCATTTACAGGCATATGAAGTAGCTGCTAAGTGAAAGGACATTACCTGGTAATTTGACAGGAAAAGAGTCCACAGACAGTCTGTAAACCAATTAAACATAAACATCTGATGCACATTTTCTACTGAAAGAAAAGCAAGGGAAAGAAGAGAAAGGAAAACTTTAAGGTTCCCAAGTCTACAAACAATTTTTACCATTAACTGTACGGTATAGTATTTTCATTTTATTTTTCAGAATACTTTATATAAAGGTGCTTCTCAGGACGCCTTGAGGGGCATAAATATTTTAGCATAGGCATACAGTTCTGTTGGGATTACCTTAGTCCTTTGGACTCGTGATTAAAATGACTTTTTAAAAAGTCAGTTTGTATTTAAATAGTTTTCATTTTGAAATGAAATGAAAATGATGAAACCAGCTGAAGGCAAAGAATCATGGATGTGTAAAGATCTAAGGTTGGTTAAAAAATTATTTTTTTCATGGGCCTAACGGTAAAAACTCAGATTTCATAATATTCTGAGGATTAGGGAGGCCTTTTCCAAAATTAAATATAAAAACTGATTTAAAGTTAGGTGGTCCCAAAATAAACATTTTTTAAGTTGTCAAAATGCAAGGTACAGAAATAACTTGCTTGCTTAAACGTATTTAATCTTTGATTATTTCAAAAAATCCCAATGTGATAAAAATTTAGGGAATAGCAATCCCTTAAATGACTGAAAGAATGATGAAAATGTCAGGAAAATTGGGTTATGAGATCTACTTGCATGGCTCCATCTTACAACTCAAGTTTATTAATATGGTACAATTTTGCTAATTGTAAGTAGCATAGTCTCTGGGAAAAAAAACTTCCCTGTACAATTTTTTGTCTTCCCTTCTTATAAATATTGGTTCAGAGTTTTTATTTGTTTATTTAGGTTAAGCAATACATACTTTTAAATCTTTTTAGGTTCAGCAATACACATTTAAAAAATTTTCAGGAGCAACAAATTTTAGGAAATTTAAGGAAAGCAAACTCCCCAAAACTCTTGCTTACTCTTTTCAGTAATAAATATGCCAAATTTAACTATTCACTAGCCATGAAATCCTAAATGTTGGATGTCACTTTAGATGTCAATCTGTACGCAGGGAAGTAGAAGTTGATGTTTCTCCTATGCCAAGCCTTCAATGAGTCAGTCTCATGAAGAAGCCGGTTTTTTTTTTCTAGGAAAGGCTCTAATACTTGGAACATTCTTTTTATTATTAAACCAGAATCTACCTCCTGTCACTTTCATCCGTCACCCCAAGAGTTCAGCACTATGTATTAATTCAGCGGTTCTCTTCTTGGTCAGAAAATGCAGACAATATCGATCCTGCATCTAAACAAAAATTTAAACCTGAGAGCCTATTGGTACTTAGAAGAGCTGAAAACAGGATATGGTAGGGTTCAAGGCATGAGAAAATGCAAAATTATGACCCGTTTTAAAATTAGTATTATGTACAGTATGTATTAATTATGTATTAATGTGATACCCAAAATGGTAGCTCTGTTAGAATTGTATAGTAAAATGTTAAAAGTTAAACCAAAAAATGTGTTAATTCCACTCTTATGAGCAGCTTGTGGCTAATGTCTCCACGCAAAAAGTTCACTAAACAAAGCCTGAATAAAATGCTTATCTCCCATCCCTCACCTGAAAGCTTCCTGATTTAAAGCAAACTAACATTAACTTTTACCACAAGTTCTCAGAAATGCTATTATATTGGGAAATTATTGCGGTTTGCTGAATAACTCCATTAAAAACTTATTAATTTTCAAAGGCTACAATACACACACAACAAACCCCCTCAGTTATAATTTTGCTCTTAACAAAAGCATTTTAATGTCACAATTTTACTTCAACCAGTACCTTAAAGTAACCAATAAACAAATTTTGGCAATTTACATAGTTCTAAGCAATATAACCTGGCTGGTTGGTATTTAGTTCCAACACCTCATTCGAATATAAAGTAATATTTACCTACATTATACATCTGTTATGCAATTCAAAAAGCAACCTCTCAAAATGCACCAAGAAACATTGTCATTGAACAACTTAAGAGTCTGGGCTGTTGGAGTGAAACTCAGTAATACAACACATTCCAAACCATAAAAACAAATTCTTGACTTAACAATTTTTAGGGTCCATCAGTCCTTTTGGACATTTTATAAGCTCTATGCTAAAATTTTCATTTGAAAGCGACAACCTACACCGTATGTTCATTGTGTGTAGGTAAAATTTATGGGAAAGGTCCAGAATACCAAAATATCTAAATCTAAAACCAAAAACCAAAAACATCCACTTTTTTTTTTTAAAGTGACATTTTAGATAAACTAGGAGTTTAGCAGGCAGAATGCAAGTTACAAAGGAGTGAGGCATTACTGGTTTTAAGTCCCACCTGGAGGTCACCATCAACATCATTCTTTTCATTACTTTGATTTGTATTATTGATACCATTCAAAAATATTTCAATAGCCTTTTGTTTTCTTCAGCCACTTTGGATTTTCCTTTCCATCATTTTTACATAAACAGTTTTATCCAGTGGCAACAATCTTATCAGACCATGAACTGATCTAACAGTTCTTACATTCATTGACATTGCATTTAAAAAAAAAAAAATCTCACCCAAAACTTTGGAAATAAATTGGCACATCAAGCAGTTCTCAGATACTGGAGCATACAGAAAAGGAGTAATATAATATAAATCCGCTATTATATTATATTACTTGAGGGAGTTCGGATGTTCCCTCCCTTAATTTCCAAGTGTGCCCCTGCCTACCAGCATCACATCCGTCTTGTCTGCATTGAACCTCAACCAGTTGGTTCTTAACCACGTCCGAAACTCAGCCAGGCACTGGGAGAATCGAGCCACCACACCATCTGGATCAAAGGAAAAAAAACCTCAGTAGCAAGAAGCCCAGAGCCCCTGAGACCGCACGTTCCCCACTCACCCCGTCTTTTTTTTTTTTAAAAAAAAACCAGATGGCTGGGAATTAGGACAAGAACCTCCAAATGGTAGGGGGCGGGGGGGGGGGGGGGTAGGGGTGCGGATGGGGGAGGGAAATGAGCCTGGAGTCATGCAGTTCGCAACCAATGATAAAAGGAATCAAGCGACTCAATACATAGGTCGCCTGCGAGTCACCGCTGGACTAAGCGGTCTCTACGGTAGAGTGGCCGGTCCGGCAAGCAGCTGCAGAAGCTTTGCTGCCCCAGACTGTCGGCCCTGGAGGGATAACTGCAACCGAGAGATGGGGAGTGACTCGCCCAAGGTCATACAGCAAAAGCGATGACACATTCCCACCGCACCCCCCCCAAAAAAAATTGGGGCTTCCAGGTCGGAGATGCTCCCACCGGCGGTGGAACAGAACAAGGCCGTGCAATGTGGGGGGAGGCGGAGGGATGGGGGGAGGGGGGAAAATAGCATCGGTCCCCGGGGATCCGCACAGGTTTGCGGGGCAGAGGGGTCCCCCAGCCTGACCGTCTTCAACGACACTCGCGCCCCTCCCTACGCTCCCTTTAGCCCAGGGCCGGGTCGCCTCGGCCCCCGGCTCACCCCAGGGGCTCGGAGCGAGCTGAACCCCGAGAGATCGGGGCTGCGGGAGAGAGGCGGGTCGGCGGGGCCAGCTTAGCCCCACCTCGGCCGGGGTCGAGGGCCGAGAGGAGAAAGGGGCGGCAGCCCCCAGCCAGCGGCGAACTCACTCCGCCGCCGCCGCCGCCGCCGATTCCCGGGGCGCCAGGGACGCCGGGGGAGCTCGCCGGCGCCGCCAAAGCCAAAGCCAAAGGCGGGGGAGGAGGGCGGGCGGGCGGGCGGGGGATGGGAGGGGGAAGGGCAGGGAGCGCGCATGCGCCGCGGGCGGCCGGCGCCGCGCCGGGCGGGGACGCGCGCAAGCCCCGCCCCGGAAGTGGAGGGTCTTCCGGGCGGCGGGCGGCCGTGGGGGAGGGGAAGGGGCGAAAGGAGACCGAGGACGCCTCTCGAGCCCCTCGCCGCGATCGGGCCGGGGAGGGGCCCGGTGGGGGAACGGAGGCTGCACTTACAGCCGCTGCCGCCGCTGCCGCCGCCACCTTCGCTGCTGCCACCACCGCCCGAGGACGCCCCATCCATCCGCCTGCAGCCGGGGAGACTCCGAGCCTGGGAGGGGCCTGGGGCCCGGGCCGCCCGCCTCCTCCTTCTAGTCGTCGCTCCGAGCTTCCTCTTGCTCCACCAACCCTCTGCCCTCCCCTCCGCCTCCGCCCTCCTCCCCGGCCCGCTGCCGCCAGCCAACCGCGCGGCCGCTTGTTGAGCCCGAGCTCCGCTGTCTCCATGGCGCCCGGCAAACACTCCCGAGCCCCTGCCCGCGCCGCTAACGCCAGCCACGCCGGGGGTTGGGGGGGACCGGGGCGGCCCGAGCAGCGCGGGAAGCGGGGGGTGGACGGCTCCCGCCGCGCCCCAGCCGGTGGGCACCAACCATGCCCTCTCCGGGAAGCAGCCACAAGCAGCAGAGCCTCGGGGCGTAAGTTGTGAGGTGCAAAGTGCCGGGCGCCCGAGAGAGCCCTTCTTTTGAGATCCTCCCCGCCCAGCCCCCATCTCACTGCATCTGGCTTCCATCAGCCCCCCTCCAAGCTCCCGGGCGGCCCTGCCCGGCTGGCTGGTTGGCCCGCTCGCTCGCTCGCTCTCTGTCCTCGGCCTCCTGCATCCTTTTGCAAAGTCTCCCCGCGGCGTTTGCCGCCTGCTGAAGATCGTGCAGAACCACCGCGCCTCCGGGCGCTGCACGCTGTGCTGGGTGGGTCGGGTGGATCTTGGGCGCCGCTGGAGCGAGTTTCCTCCGCCCCGCATCTGCAAACCGTCAGACTCTATCCAGCAAGCTTGCACGGGGCGCGAGGCTTTTGCTGGCCTCTCTTCCCCCTGTACCGCCTTGCAACTCCTACCAGCCGCCAGCCAGCCACTGTCCTCGCAAACACAGTTGAACCCGAGGCTCCTCGGGCTTTGGGGTAGCCCAGAAACTTCAAAGGGGCCCTTAAGGGCTGAGCAGTTAGCCCAGTGCGGTTTCCCCAATGCATTCACTCTCCCACACTCAAGCCTCAACACCTCTCCAATACGTTTCGGCTTATTCAGTATTTCCGCAGCAGAAGGTGTCCGAAATGCCGGCTGGGAAGGGTTCTTGGGCGTTTCTGCCCTTCTTAACGCCACCAGAACAGCCTTGGCAAAGGACAGCTGTAAACCACAGGACAAATACAGTTGCCATACGCTTGCCTTTAGCCCACCGGCAGTTTTTAGATAGAGTGTGTCACTGTTTGAAAACATGGGTTACTGCGACCTCACTCGCCCTTTGTCAGTTCTCGCCTTGGTTCATGGCTATCCCTTTAAAAAAAAAAAAAAGCTTTGCTTTAACCTCCCCAAGACTCCCATATGTAAATATTGTAGTACTTGTGAGGTCAGGCTTTCAAAGTCTGGTGTATGCTAAAATTTCACACGTTACTATTTCTAGCCAAGCCCTGTCCCATGAAAACAGACTTAAAAAAATGAGTGATCCCTGCCCACAGAGGCAGGACGGAGTCCCTGCCTACCAACGTGTAGCTCCAAAGATTCACATCCCAAACTGAACTTATTTGCTCTTTATTCTGCAATAGAGCCCATTTTGGTAAATGTCAGTTTCCACTCTTCCCAGTTACTTGGATAAAAAATCTTGACTTTTTTTGTGGCGTTTCTAATACCCCACTTCATCAACAAATTCTGGGTTTTTTTTTTTTTTGGTTGTTGTTTTGTTTTGTGTCACACCTGGCAATACTCAGAGGTTACTCCTGGCTCTGCACTCAGGAATTACTCCTGGCGATGGGGGGGGGGGGGGGGGGGGAGGGGGGGAGGAACCATATGGGATGCTGGTTTGAACCCAGGTTGACCGCATGCAAGGCAAACGCCCTACCTGCTGTGCTATCACTCCAGACCCCTCTGTTTGTTTCTACAGGAAAAGTAAATTGAAGTAACCGCTCTTAAGTCACTGTCACATCACAGTAGACACCAAAATGTTCTTGCCAAGATCCTCATGGTAGTAATGACCAAGAGTGACTAGTCAAGTGACTTTCCAAACTCCCCCCCCCCCATGTTTTCCATTTCACTGAGACATAAAAGCTTACATCTTACCCACAGAATGTCCCCCTGGACACTTCCCCTTGGCTAATACTCTCTGGACTAGAGCAGGCACAATATATTTATTCCCTGAGTTAATGGCTTGTGCATTTGCTATTCTTAGGAACATTGACTTTCACAGTCTTGTGACCCACTTATTTCTGTCTGTTGTCACCAAAGAATATCTTCTAATAAACCTACATAAAATACTTCTCCACTCAGTTTTACCCATTCCTCAACCTGTTTTGTTTTTATTCTTCATGTATTTACTCTTTCTTAATATTTCTACATACTCACAAACACACACACACACACACATCAAATGGTCCTTCAGGAGGGCAAAGATTTTATTTGCTCTATTTCCTAGAAAATGAAGACACTCAATATAAATTTGTAAATAAGTGACCATCATTCAGTCATCAAGGTTATGCTTCCATCACTGGGTCATTTTGGTTATGCTTCTTTTTGTTGTTGTTGTTTTGTTTCTTTTCACTCTTGGATATGTAAATCTCCTAAGTTTGAATTCATGTGAAAAGAATTTTAAATCACACAACTCATAATAACTTAATATTAGCAAAATTCCCTGGGGAATTTATTAAATAATAGCAAATTTGCAGGGGATTACTTTTAAATTGAAGAGATGGAAATTGTGGAACTTAAACTTTTGAGCTAGCCATGTCTGTCTAAAACTTTCAGACACTAGAATTTACACCTACTTCTCTTCTTTTGAAGACTCAATCCTGAGCTTGTAAAGAATCTCATAAATGTTTATTTTCCACTTTGTCCAAACTTTTCCTCTATCTGATCCTTCCCATGGGCTTAACAAATTAAGTTAGTCTTCCATTATGATGTTTTAAGCCCATTTTTCTACCTAGTATATATTCAGCTTTCATGCTCATTTTCTTTTTAATCTTTGAATTTCTATCTGTTCCTAAATGTTTTCATCTGAATCCTTCCGTACTGATCAGAATTTTTAAAAATTCTCTGACAGACATTTTTTGCCATATAATCAAACAATCAAACATCTCTGACTGGTTCTCATACTTGCTTTGCTACTTTTTGCCCTTTGGTCTGCCTTGTAATGATTTGATAAAAGCTGAACATGTTCCATCAAATGGTTTGAAATGACTTAAGTGAGTTTTTCGTGTCATGTCTGACTGGGAATTAAGCTTTGTTTACTATTTGTTGTAGCTATAGGTTTCTGAGATTGCAATTTCCTCTACTGTCCTTATTTTCCTCCTGTGCTGTTTTCTTAGGTTTCCCTAGAGACTCTCTCTTAAAGAGAATCTGAGCTTTGCATGTCTTTCTATTATAATCCTGTGATAACATATAATACATATTGTTAGCTGTGATACTGTTAATGCAGTGGTAGGATGTGGGGGGGAGAGAGAGTGCTCCCCAATTAGGTTTAGACTTTTATTGGACTATTATCCTGGGACTGTGACCTTCACCACTCTTTCTCAGATTTCCTTTTTATCCATAGGTGGAAGGAAATTTCCAGAAGGACTTGGAGTTGAGTATTTCTTGTCCTCCACATTGATTAGGGTCTAGTATAGTAGTATTCCTTGTGAGAAGGACTTTATTTAGGAGAACTTGATCACTTGACATCCCGTTACTCATCAATTTGCTTGAGTGGGCGCCAGTAATGTATCCAGTCGTCCCTGTCACGTGCTAGTGTAGCCCAATGGCATCTGCTCGTTCTAGGAACACGAAGAGCCTCAAACCGATCATTCAGAGTCTTGACAAAGAAGTCTGACCATCTCGGGCTGAAGCGATAGCACAGCGGGTAGGGTGTTTGCCTTGCACGCGGCCAACGCAGGTTCAATTCCCAGCATCCCATATGGTCCCCCGAGCACCGCCAGGAGTAATTCCTGAGTGCAGAGCCAGGAGTAACCCCTGATCATTGCCGGGTGTGACCCAAAAAGAAAAAAAAAAAGAAGTCTGACCATCTTGTAGGTGGGCAGCCACACAATCTTTTGATGTCCCGTGGACTCCAGTCAGTGACGGCTCTAGTCCAGCGGTCATCTCATTACATGTCCAGCACATCTGATTTTCGACTCCTTGGCAAATGAGACAGCATCCCTGATTCTTGACCGTCAATGGAGGTCGGAACTCCGGATTCTTTCTCTCATTTGAGTGAAGCGTGATACTCCAAACATAGCTCTTTCGATTCCTCTTTGGGAGACCCGAAGAGCATTCTCATCCTGTTTTCCTAGGACCCAAGTCTCTGAGGTGTATGTTGATGCAGGAAGAACAGTGGGATCAAAGAGATGTGCCCAGAGCCGGAGGATCTTCGTCCTCTTAGCTATTTCCTCGACGCTCTTGAAGGCATTCCAAGCCGCTCTCTTCCTCCTGTGCAACTCAGGTGCCAGGTCATTTGTCATGTTGACTTCTCGACCTAGGTACACATAACTGTTGCATTCAGAGATGTTCGTTTTGTTGAGAATGAATGGAACGTCAGGAACGAGACCATTTCTCATAAACATTGTCTTCGTGAGAGTCATCTGTAGTCTGACCTTTCCACACTCACGGTCGAAGTCAGCCAGCATTTGTGCCGCTTGGCTAATGTTTGGTGTCATCAGAACGATGTCATCAGCAAAGGGGAGGTGGTGTAGTTGCTGACCATCTATCTTCACTCCCATTCCTCTTTGGCTAGGGCT